AAGAAATAGTGTGAAAAAACCTTCAAGGATTTAAAAATTTTTATGAAATAAATTAAATCACAAATTTTGTTTCAAAGTTACCTCTTATATTTGAATTAAGTCCTAAAATTCTTGAAAATAGATTATTACTATTAAAGCAAAGTTCAAGTTGAACAAAAAAAAAAAAAAGAAAGAGGAATGTCGCTTTTTTTTTTCTTTCTTTTTTTTTTACGTTAGCGTGGAGGGAATGATAATTTATTTTTGCTGACAAAGGGCAAAACATAAGTGCCAAAATTGTGTAATATTTTAACGGTCCCTAATGTGAAACTGTCAAAGTTGAACTAACCTACATGAACAGTAGAATATTCGAAATCTATATGAAACAGCTACGAAAATCATGCTTTCAGATTAGATTCAGAACTTGTTATATAAGTCAAACGAGTGTTAGTAAAAAATCTTTTAAGAGTAAATACAATAAAAAAACCGGAAAAAAAATTTCCAAAATTAAATCTTTGAAAAAAAATAATAAAGCTAGCTAGCTAGGAAATAAAGCTTTTGTTTTGCTATTAATAGTGACATAATTATCCTAAGGGTTATGAAAAAATATATTGAGAAGAATTTCTTAAAATAATATATTTCAATATACAGACATATCGCTGATTAATCTTATCTTTTTATTCTTTTCAATTAAAATAAGGTTTCAAATTATCGAAGTTTCAATTCATTTTAAACCCATGCTTTTATTCTTTTCAATTTAAATAAGGTTTCAAATAATCTAAGTTTCAATTCATTTTAAACCCAAGCTTTCATTTTTTTCAATTAAAATAAGGTTTCAAATTATCAAAAGTTTCAATTCATTTTAAACCCATACTTTATCTTTACGAAAACGAAATAAATCAAACAGCTTGTTTATTTTCTAAAAAAAACTCCTAAAATTCCGTGAGAACTTTCTAAACAAAATACTAACGACCCCAGTACCCCAACAGTCCATATGTACGTGATTTTTCACGCTTCTTGTTACCTCCCCCCCCCCTTAATTCCGACATCCACGATCGGAAGAACCGTGTGCGAGGAGGGAGCTTGATAGCCCCCCGTAAATTACTTCCGCTATGGATGAAAAATTAGGGTCGAAGTGCACATTTCCATAGCTTGAAGCCATGCCGTCCCAACTCGTTTGGAAAATGTGACATATGATTTAAGTTTTCAGTTAATTGCTCTTAGAAGGTGACCTACTTATGAAGGCTTATTTGGTTTTCAATGCTTCAACTATTTTTATGTCTTAGAAACAAATTCAAATACATTTTTTAATCTCTGGAAAAGTTTCATACATGCTTCGCTTTATGTCATCCAGTGTCAAAGATCATAAATAATCGATTCAAATCACTATAGTCCCAAATGATCCAATTAACAGTGTTTTTCGAAGCTTTATCTCCTAAAGAAAAAAAAAAGCCGTAGTTAAAGGTTTAAGCGCCTTACACTGTAAAAGTTTCGGGTAAGTGCCGGAACTTTTTACCGTAAAAACCATCTTTACCGGAACGTGTGAGGGGACAAAAATCTGATTCGTAATATTTACAGTTATATTTACCATAAAATCAACTCTGATTAAATAAATCCTGCAAAAATAACGATGGATTTAAATTAATTAATTATTTTAATTAATAATTAAATTATGTAAATTTTTTTTTGGTTATATTCACCATAAGATCACTGAATCAGGGTAGAAATAATTATAATTTATAATTAAATTATGCAAATTAATTTTTATTACAGTTCTATTTACCATAAAATCATTTAACCACTTTAATTTAATTAATGTTACTGTAAAAATTATGGTATACTATTTTATGGTAAAAATGGATTTTACAGTAAATGAATTTTACGGATGATGCACCCACTGTGCCGGTACTTTATACCGTAATTTGTAGTGTACTCTTAAGATGAAGTTATAATAATTCTAAGCTCTATATACCACCTTGTCGTTAAAAATTATCAGTGAGAACAGAAAAATAACTAATTAATTTTAAAATGTATTAATCTTTTTGAAAAATGGCCAATTCGGCAAAATTTTTCATCTTCACTAGCGTGCTATAGTCTGTGGTCAAATTCAGTATTATTGAGAGTTTAATCGAAGCGTAATTTAATGTATAATTCTATTTCTAAACTTGCTTAGTATGCTTATTAAAATAAAAAGAAAGCGAAGTCAGCACTGTGAAATTCACTTTAAATCAGATACAATTTTCATATCAATCTGGTGTTAAATGTTCACGGTTTTCATACTTCAAAATATTGGGATTTCTTTGTTTATAATAATTTTTATTTAGTTAAAATTCAATTTTTTAACTAGTAAGCATAGGTTTTGTACGTTCGTGTAGTGAGTTATAATCTTAATTTTATGTTTATGTACTATTAATTTAATATTGTCATTTTTTGTCGAATTTATTCTTGCATAATGGTAATATTAAAAAAAATATTCTGGGCTACGTGCGAAGATTTAAGTTTTATTCGAAGAATGTTACATATATATGATTAAATGGACAGAAAATTAAAAATTCCAAAATCAACCGTAACAAATATGTTGGGTTTATTAAGAACAATGAGAACAAAATAAATATAAATGACGCACAGAAATTCCAAAATGCTTTCAACAGGTTGACCAAAAACGTTTTTGTTGCATTTATACAAATACTTGGTCTTGCCTAATTTGAATTTCAAATCTGAAAATAGAAAGGCAGCAGATTTTTTTTTAAATTTTTTTTTAAAATTACGTTTTAAATCTATTTTTATCTATCTATTTGTTGTCGAAATGTGGAAGTTTAAAAACGTTATATATAACAGAGTGGCGTGTAATTCTTGAAATTAACTAAGGATCATCGTCATGATTAATATTGCATGAGAACCAGTGCTCTGAAATGTCGTAGTACGCTGATAGGACGCTTCTCTAGTATGACCTGTTTAAAATCAGGCGAAGAGAAATGGTAAAATTACCCTACTGTATGGTAGTGTTTTTCAGAATTTAAAAAAAAAATAATAATAATTTTGATAATAAAAACCAAAACACACGTTATTTAAACCATTCATTCCGAAATTTTTCCGTTCATAAACTAACAGTTTACCGGAAATTCGGATCTTCTAAACTATAGTAGTGATTACCACACATTTATTAAAAAAATGCGTAACGTAAATTCAACCAAATAAATGGTTTCATGTAATGCTTTAACAGGGGTCTGTTTAAAAGAAATTTGGGTTCGTTAGCGGACCCTTTACAAAATATCTTTTCAAAAAAACGGATCCTTCACAAAATATTTTAACTTAAAAACGGACCCTTCACAAAATGATTTTTCTTTTAATCGGACCCTTCACAAATTTGTTTATCTTCATTATTATTTTNCCGGGGGGGGGGGAGAATGCTGTTTATTTTTGAAAATTTAATTTTTTTTTATTAAAATTTTACAGTGTTGAGCATAATCTTGTATGTCTTTACAATTTAAAAACTTCTTGAAAAAGTTTTTTGCGATAGCAGGATCCTATTTGCACAAATTCACAAAAGCTTATTTGAAATCATACTTCATGGTTAATTTTACCAAGACCTTCGCCCCCTTAGAAGTTTGTCAAAGCATTTATGCGATTCCCTGGTATATATAACGTTTTTAAACAGAATTTCGACCAGAAAAAAAGAGAGAGTGACTAAAAAGGTCATGCAAAGAAAAAAACCGCAGCTTGGAAAGAGAAACCGATTTCAAGTCCAAAATCAGCAATACAAAAGTACCGAAGGTCTTTTAAAAATTCCAATGGAACAAAAAAAATAAAAAAAATATTCCCCAGTGTAATTCTCAATTCCAGCAAATTTGTAAGTGTCCAAATAATTTTGATGGAAGTAATTGTTTTAATATTTAAAAATTACTGTAGATCACCAAAAGTTATTCTTTTCACCAAATTACTAGTTTTTCTTCGAACTGGCATTTTATGTCATTTTCAGAATTAGCTTCGATGACTCTGGCTAAAGATAGGTGAAATATGGCCTAAAACTCATTGAATTAGGACTTAGCAGTGATATAAATGCTTAAAAGGTGACCTATTTATCGCTTGCTGATATTTATTGTTTTAACAGTTTTTAATTACTAATAAACTTGAATATATTTTTAATGACAATGCTTTTTTTATTCTTTCAACATTGTTTATATGGTATATGGTTTATATATAGTTACATATTAATTAATAAATTGTCAATTAATCAAATGTCTCAGAAATTAACTTGATGTTTTAATGTCTGGATGTTTCATATAATTTTGCAACTTCAATAATATTTACTAACATTGATTAATCAACAAGCATTGCAAACTATAACAACGAAAATAATTAATTTTAGTAGATTTTGTCAATTTTATTCTGGAAAAAACATTTTCTGAACAATTGCACTCAAAATTGTCAACATAATGTTGCTGAAACTTAAGGAATAAGCAAATTTAGTTGGCTCTATCATATATAAATAATTTTTCAAATTAGTGCTAAACTTGTGTCTCGAATTGCATCGAAAATCAATTCTGCACGGAGAAAAATATTCTGGTAAAATTACCACATTGTAAAGACATTTCTGTCGAAATAAAACTATAATAAAACTATATGATAAACTAAACCATTCATTTGGTAATTTTTCCGTTCAAATGTTAACGATGTAGGCAAAATTCTGGTTTCCAAGATTATACATGTTAATACCACACAGAAAAAATACAAAACTGAAAAATAACTTTAACCACATAAATGGTTCTTATGCCATACTCTAAAGTATCGTGATAAAATTATTAAATTTCACTATATTCATAAGCAAAGCACTTCGGTAAAAATTATCGAGATTTTCGGTGTTCCCATAGAGCATGAAAATTACCATATTCTGGTAATTTTGACTATACATTTTTCCTTAGTGTAACCATCAAGATACCACTGCAATTGCATTTTTCTTTATTATACTAATGTTTACCATTACAATCTATATGTTTGTTTCTTACGTTTGTTGTTATTTTTAGTGACAGCACAATCAGTCATCACCCTAGAACATCAACGCCTCATCTGTGCGTAGGAAATAGCCACATAGTCTCTCCTGGTCCTCATTCTGCGGCCGCCAGAACATCTCCCGCGATGTCCCAAGCTGCCCTTTGTGGCCATCATTTTACCGACGATATCGGACGTGACTTCCATTTTAACCCTTCTAAACCCATGGACGAACTTGCTGTTATGGCTATGGTGAAATCCGAACCTGGACTCTATCCCTCCGCTCTAGTCTACCCCACGAATACGTCAGCATACGATGCAGCTGCGACATTGTCTCATCTCCATGTTGCTGCTATGAACCATGCGTGAAAACACCTGCACAAAAATTGAAACCAAAATACTCTGACATGGACTGATATAAAAATAAGCGATCTTTTATATATCAAAAATATAAAGACATCAATTTTTTAAACACGAGAAACAATGCCCTTGTCTATATTTGCAATAAATTACATGTAATAATTTATTGTAAAACGTGTAATTTATTGCAAAACATGTAATTTGTTGCAAAACATGTAATTTATAATTTATTGTAAAACGTGTAATTTATTGCAAAACATGTAATTTGTTGCAAAACATGTAATTTATTGCAAAACGTGTAATTTATTGCAAATACAGTTGAAAAACTAATTCTGATGTAATTGGTAAGATTATTTTTCCTTAACTGTTATGGCTATATCATTTATTTTCAAAATATTACTTGTCTTCTCAATTATTTTGAAACTGAAGTAAATCTAATAATTGTTTTTATTGAATTTAATTATTGTTTTAATTATTTGTGTAATTAAAACTTATTTAATCTATTATTAATTATTTATAATTATTTAAATAATTAATTATTAATATAATCATAATAATGAATTGAAAAATTGTGAATGTTTTAATTAATTATTATAACTTAATTATTGTTATAAATTCAAATAATTATGGTTATTAATTTATAAATTTCTTGTCAAAAAGCAAAGTCTTATGAAACATAATTACTTTTTTTATTGATACTGAAGTTAATCTAATTATTGTCGTTATAAATTTAAATACTAATGATTATAAACTTGAAATTTATAAATTTTACGTTTGAAACAAAAAAGTTTTTATCAAACATTGCTTATTATAATTTTTTATATTAATAATAATGTTATGAATTTATTTTTAATTTAAAATTTTCTAGTAATTCACGAATAAAAAAGGAGAAAAAATCAATTAAATTTATATTGGATTTACTTTTTCTAAATTTAAACTTTATTGGTAACATATACTGTTTTAAATCCTTTTTTTAATTATTTCAAAATTGGAAATCATTATCATTCTTTTTTACAATAAAATAATTATTTTATTGCTAAACTGAATCCAATACAGTCGTAACATTAGTGCACTAAAAATATGTGTAAATACAAGCAAATTATTTTCACAAAAATCTACATTTTTGTAATTTTGGTAAGTAACAAAAATTTCAAACGAACATTTAATCAAATACGCAAAGGACGATTGTTTCTAAGAGCTCTTTTCTATTTATAAAGGGGAGAGGGAAAAAGATAAAATATACTGTAAAAGTTAAATTATATTTTATATCATATTTATCATTCATTAAGCAAGAATCCAAAATTAGAAAAAACTTCATTGAATAGTTAACCAAAAATAGCAGTTTAAAAATTCAAGTTAAAAGCACTGTTTTTAATAAACAGTCATAATTTTATTGGTTAGAAATCAATATTCACTTGATTGTTAACTATCGATTCTTCAGATTTTTGATTTTAGCATACAATTTACTCTTATTTTATATAAAAAAAAATAATTCTCTTAGTCTTGATTCATTGTCTCCTTTTGCATTAGCCACCGAATTGCAAAATCTCTGTTCTTCTACGCCACTTCATAACTTGGGACAAAGCTTGTGATGGAAATTACTTGCGCTATAATACTTTAATCAATTTTAAAAATTACAAAATTGAAGAAAAAAAATTATGTTAAAAAAATCGGTGTTCGGAAAAACTACATCTTTAGTAATTAACTACGAGTATTAAAAATGGCAATAAACTACAGCTGCTTTTTTTAATTATAGTGATTACAAACTTCTGAAAAACTAATCAACTATTTTCAGTTGACGTATTTTTCTGGAGGATTCAATTTACACTAAAGCTCATGAAAAAAATGAAGATTGGTGGAAAAAACTCGTAAAAAATGGTTTGTATAATAATTGCTTCTTTCAAACATGAGAAGTTATAGAGAATTATCTAATTATTGTTTATATGAACCAATTTAGCATTCGAAACCAATTTTCTACGAATTTTTTCTTTCAAGATTCAACTTTTTATGCCATATTCAAGAGATGCTAGAAAATTATCACGTATATTTAACTTCATTCAGTATCTGTAACTCTTCTATTTCCTCGTATAAGTGGAGTTATAGATCAAAACATGTTCCACAAACGGAGTGGCAGACGATTTCCATCAATCAGATTCGAAAAATATGTTCCGTTTGAATCTTATTTCTTTACTAAACTAAACTTAACGTTTAAAGAAGTAGCCAGGTCTTGGAATTGTTTCCTCGGCCCTAACACTACTTTTCTTTTAAAAGTAGCGTACTACGTTTTAAACTACTAAAAATGTTGGAACTTCAGTAGTTTCCTTACTTGTTCCTGGTTTATTCCAACCACTGAGAAAAATATGGAATAAGGTATAATATTTGGTCAATTCTGCATGTAGCTTCATTTGGCCTGTTGTTGAAGCGTTTTTTTTTTTTTTTTTTTNTTTTTTTTTTTTTTTTTTTTTTTTTTTTTTTTTTTTTTTTTTTTTTTTAGTCATTCACAATCTTTGTTCAATGATATATATATATAATCAAGAAAACATTACATTTCTTTTATAAAACATTCAAGTTATTTTTATGTGTTAAACATTATAATGTAGATTATTTTAGAATTATTTGATATGGCAAAATAATCTTAGCATTTTAATTTTTAAAATGCAAATGATTTTTTTACTTGAAAGTAATTATATTAAATTTCACAATATGTAATTAAATTTTTTTACAATTTGAATGAAATAATTTATTTTATAATCAATGCAGTAGTTTATTGCTGCTGCAATATCTCATACACAGATGATTCAAATTACAGAAACGCTATTCTTTTCTTTTCAATCAGCATAGCATTATTTATTTTTCAATTTTTTCTTAAATGATATATTACAATAAAACTTTTGTATTTCTGCTAAATTTTTTCATCCATCTTGATTCATGGCAATCCATTCAAAAATAAATAGTTTTAATTGAAAATTTAATAAAATTCCGTTTAAGTAATTCCATTTATTAAACAATGCATCGTTTTCTATGTTAAAATACGAAGAAAAATATTGAATAAAATATTGCCTAATTTATGAAAATTTTTCTGTAATTTTTAAAATTTATTAACAAAAAATGGTTAAATAATTAAGGATATTCCTGATATGTATTATTTTAACAACGTCTATCTAAATCCTTTTTTGTTATAATTGTAATCATTTTATTAAATTCTGATTGATTTTTTACTTTTGTCAAAGAAGCAACATTCTATGAAAATTACTTACATCATTTTTTTTATTCTATATTTTTTTTAATAACTTTTACAATAATGAATATTATTTAAAAGTTTCAATTATGAAACCAAACTTCCTTAAAGTGCTTTTCTTTAAATAAGAAAAAAGAAATACGTTAATTCCTGTTCTGTGCAATTTTTTATTTTATGTAAATGCTTTTAAACCAAAGAATGGATGAAATTCTTGGTTATAAGTTATGTAACTGTGTGCTACTAATGAAGCAAAGTTTTTGTAAAATTGGATTTTATTTATTTGTTGTTGTTTTTCATTTTGCTGCACATTCCTTTTTGTTTTAATGATTGTTTATAAATTTAATTTATTATGTGCCAGTTGAATTTTTTAATCTATGTATATAACTTTTCAAAAACAATAAACTTGTTATGCTAATTTTGTATATGAGAGAATTACCAGAATTCTTATTTTTATAGCTAGTAACGTAAAATCCCTACATATAATTGTAAAAGTGCTAAAAATATTGTTTGATAGCATAATCTAATTCATCTAATTCATATTGCATAAATCAGAAGACGAAAAGGGGAAAAGAAGCGAAGAATTTCGGGCCTATCATTTATCTTTGAATTACAATTGTTTATTTAATTAGTTTATTAAAATTGTTTCTTAGTTAATTACTCTTTTTAATTTATTTAAATTTCGCTTTTTAATAAATAACTTTTCTTTTCTAATTTATAACTTTTTCTTCATTTGAGCCGTGAATATTCTAAATATTCTGTTAAAAAAGCAATTGGGTAAAATGCTTGAAGTTTTACTTACTTTGTATTTTTTATTTAAATCAAACTATAACAATTCTTTGAAAAACCTAATTTATTATTTTTTTACGGCATATGAATTATCTTCATCATATACAATTATTTTGAACAAGTTTGTCTTGGTTAAAGAAAAATTTTCAAATAGATCTATTTTGGTTGAAGTTAATTAGTACATATCTTTTTTTATCAAAGCATTCTATTTTATAGAAGAAAATGTCCTTAAACTTATTTTTCGTGTTTCTGTCCTTCAATTGACGTAAAAGGAAATAAGATATTAAATGACTAATTTCAAGAAACAGAAGTGAAAATATGTAGTACATGATTAAAAACTTCACAGACTTCATATGAGCTTGAAACATGTAGACTTTTATTGCTATCTTCATATAATTTGAAACATGCGAAGTTTTTAATCAAAGAAATAAGACATATTAATCCATATTATCATGTATCGAAACTGCAACATTTGGTTTTTAACAAAGCACGTTAAAATTTTAGTTTTAAAATAAATTTAATCAATTGAAATATAACAAGGACAAAGTTAATTGCTCTGATCCTAAACATTTACGTTTTAGAACTGATTTAAACATTCTGTAACTTCATCCAATAACCTATTACAAAATTACAGGACAGTTTTTAAATTAAAAAAAACTTTCAAACTTATGTAATATTAAATAGATCTGAAATTATTTCTCCTTCTTTATTTCAAAAATATCCATTCCAATTATTTACTGCTGTTAGCGCTTATTCCCCTTGTTAAATATATTTCGGTCGGTGTTAAAAAAAAGCTGCTAATATATTTACTAATCACAATATCACGAAAAAAGCAGTACATACATAACTAAGAAGTGTTTTTTTTTTTTTAAAGGTAACTTTTGCTTTTTTTGATCCTTTTACAAAATATTATATGCAGTCTGTATAATGTATGTTCTGAACAAATTTGATATTGTAATATTTTTATTTTGTAAATTACATGTATATACCTTATTAAACGTTATTGAAATAATTTTTGCATTTTTATTGTTTGGTTAAGAAAGTGTTGGCTAAGAATTCTTTAAAATATGAATTTTAATTATAAAAAAAACTTTCTTAACTTGTCCCTGATATTTTAACTTCCTTGTATAACATTGATATTTAAAAGGTTCTTTGGTAACAAAGATAAAAA